TTTTTAGAAAACATTAGAGTTTTCACATTAAATGATATTTTTAGAAAACATCAGAGTTTTCACATTAAATGATATTTTTAGAAAACATCAGAGTGTTCACATTAAATGATATTTTTAGAAAACCTCAGAGTGTTCACCTTAAATGATATTTTTAGAAAACATTAGAGTTTTCACATTAAATGATATTTTTAGAAAACATTAGAGTGTTCACCTTAAATGATATTTTTAGAAAACATTAGAGTTTTCACATTAAATGATATTTTTAGAAAACATTAGAGTGTTCACCTTAAATGATATTTTTAGAAAACATTAGAGTTTTCACATTAAATGATATTTTTAGAAAACATCAGAGTGTTCACCTTAAATGATATTTTTGAAAACATCAGAGTGTTCACATTAAATGATATTTTTAGAAAACCTCAGAGTTTTCACATTAAATGATATTTTTGAAAACATCAGAGTTTTCACATTAAATGATATTTTTAGAAAACATCAGAGTGTTCACCTTAAATGATATTTTTAGAAAACATTAGAGTTTTCACATTAAATGATATTTTTAGAAAACATTAGAGTGTTCACCTTAAATGATATTTTTAGAAAACATTAGAGTTTTCACATTAAATGATATTTTTAGAAAACATTAGAGTGTTCACCTTAAATGATATTTTTAGAAAACATTAGAGTTTTCACATTAAATGATATTTTTAGAAAACATCAGAGTGTTCACCTTAAATGATATTTTTGAAAACATCAGAGTGTTCACATTAAATGATATTTTTAGAAAACCTCAGAGTTTTCACATTAAATGATATTTTTAGAAAACATCAGAGTTTTCACATTAAATGATATTTTTAGAAAACATCAGAGTGTTCACCTTAAATGATATTTTTAGAAAACCTCAGAGTTTTCACATTAAATGATATTTTTAGAAAACATTAGAGTTTTCACATTAAATGATATTTTTAGAAAACATCAGAGTGTTCACCTTAAATGATATTTTTAGAAAACATCAGAGTTTTCACATTAAATGATATTTTTAGAAAACATTAGAGTTTTCACATTAAATGATATTTTTAGAAAACATCAGAGTTTTCACATTAAATGATATTTTTAGAAAACATCAGAGTGTTCACCTTAAATGATATTTTTAGAAAACATTAGAGTTTTCACATTAAATGATATTTTTAGAAAACATTAGAGTGTTCACATTAAATGATATTTTTAGAAAACATTAGAGTGTTCACCTTAAATGATATTTTTAGAAAACATTAGAGTTTTCACATTAAATGATATTTTTAGAAAACATTAGAGTGTTCACCTTAAATGATATTTTTAGAAAACATTAGAGTTTTCACATTAAATGATATTTTTAGAAAACATCAGAGTGTTCACCTTAAATGATATTTTTGAAAACATCAGAGTGTTCACATTAAATGATATTTTTAGAAAACCTTAGAGTTTTCACATTAAATGATATTTTTAGAAACATCAGAGTTTTCACATTAAATGATATTTTTAGAAAACATCAGAGTGTTCACCTTAAATGATATTTTTAGAAAACCTCAGAGTTTTCACATTAAATGATATTTTTAGAAAACATTAGAGTTTTCACATTAAATGATATTTTTAGAAAACATCAGAGTGTTCACCTTAAATGATATTTTTAGAAAACCTCAGAGTTTTCACATTAAATGATATTTTTAGAAAACATTAGAGTTTTCACATTAAATGATATTTTTAGAAAACATCAGAGTTTTCACATTAAATGATATTTTTAGAAAACATCAGAGTGTTCACCTTAAATGATATTTTAGAAAACATTAGAGTTTTCACATTAAATGATATTTTTAGAAAACATTAGAGTGTTCACCTTAAATGATATTTTTAGAAAACATTAGAGTTTTCACATTAAATGATATTTTTAGAAAACATCAGAGTGTTCACCTTAAATGATATTTTTAGAAAACATTAGAGTTTTCACATTAAATGATATTTTTAGAAAACATTAGAGTGTTCACATTAAATGATATTTTTAGAAAACATTAGAGTGTTCACCTTAAATGATATTTTTAGAAAACATTAGAGTTTTCACATTAAATGATATTTTTAGAAAACATTAGAGTGTTCACCTTAAATGATATTTTTAGAAAACATTAGAGTTTTCACATTAAATGATATTTTTAGAAAACATCAGAGTGTTCACCTTAAATGATATTTTTGAAAACATCAGAGTGTTCACATTAAATGATATTTTTAGAAAACCTCAGAGTTTTCACATTAAATGATATTTTTAGAAAACATCAGAGTTTTCACATTAAATGATATTTTAGAAAACATCAGAGTGTTCACCTTAAATGATATTTTTAGAAAACCTCAGAGTTTTCACATTAAATGATATTTTTAGAAAACATTAGAGTTTTCACATTAAATGATATTTTTAGAAAACATCAGAGTGTTCACCTTAAATGATATTTTTAGAAAACCTCAGAGTTTTCACATTAAATGATATTTTTAGAAAACATTAGAGTTTTCACATTAAATGATATTTTTAGAAAACATCAGAGTTTTCACATTAAATGATATTTTTAGAAAACATCAGAGTGTTCACCTTAAATGATATTTTTAGAAAACATTAGAGTTTTCACATTAAATGATATTTTTAGAAAACATTAGAGTGTTCACCTTAAATGATATTTTTAGAAAACATTAGAGTTTTCACATTAAATGATATTTTTAGAAAACATTAGAGTTTTCACATTAAATGATATTTTTAGAAAACATTAGAGTGTTCACCTTAAATGATATTTTTAGAAAACATTAGAGTTTTCACATTAAATGATATTTTTAGAAAACATCAGAGTGTTCACCTTAAATGATATTTTTGAAAACATCAGAGTGTTCACATTAAATGATATTTTTAGAAAACCTCAGAGTTTTCACATTAAATGATATTTTTAGAAAACATCAGAGTTTTCACATTAAATGATATTTTTAGAAAACATCAGAGTGTTCACCTTAAATGATATTTTTAGAAAACATTAGAGTTTTCACATTAAATGATATTTTTAGAAAACATTAGAGTTTTCACATTAAATGATATTTTTAGAAAACATCAGAGTGTTCACCTTAAATGATATTTTTAGAAAACCTCAGAGTTTTCACATTAAATGATATTTTTAGAAAACATTAGAGTTTTCACATTAAATGATATTTTTAGAAAACATTAGAGTGTTCACCTTAAATGATATTTTTAGAAAACATTAGAGTTTTCACATTAAATGATATTTTTAGAAAACATCAGAGTGTTCACCTTAAATGATATTTTTAGAAAACATTAGAGTTTTCACCTTAAATGATATTTTTAGAAAACATTAGAGTTTTCACATTAAATGATATTTTTAGAAAACATTAGAGTGTTCACATTAAATGATATTTTTAGAAAACATCAGAGTGTTCACCTTAAATGATATTTTTAGAAAACATTAGAGTTTTCACATTAAATGATATTTTTAGAAAACATTAGAGTGTTCACCTTAAATGATATTTTTGAAAACATCAGAGTTTTCACATTAAATGATATTTTTACAAAACCTCAGAGTGTTCACCTTAAATGATATTTTTGAAAACATTAGAGTTTTCACATTAAATGATATTTTTACAAAATCTCAGAGTGTTCACCTTAAATGATATTTTTGAAAACATCAGAGTGTTCACATTAAAGGATATTTTTAGAAAACATCAGAGTGTTCACATTAAGTGCTATTTTTCAGATTCAGTAAATGTAAAAAGAAAATAAAGCTAAAGTAATCTTCAGATAATTCACAGGAGTAATCACTAAGGCACTAACATTGTAGACACTAAACAGAGAGTTGATTGTAGAGGTTAATCCAACGGTTAAGGCCAGGCACGTTGGCTCATGCCTGCAATCTCAGCACTTTGGGAGGCCAGGGCAGATGGATTACTCAAGGTCAGAAGTTTAAGACCAGCCTGGTAAACATCATGAAGTTTTGTCTATAATTAAAAGAAAAAATTAGCAGAACCAGAGTGCTTTGGCTCCTGTAACCCCAGCTACTTGAGAGACTGAAGTAGGAGAATCATTTAAACCTGGGAGGCAGAGGTTGCCATGGCTCAAGATAGTACCACTACACTCCAGCCTAAGTGACAGAGTGAGACTGTCTCAAAAAAAAGTTAAAATACATAATTTATTTTTACATAAGACTAAAAAAAGCAAGTTTGATCTTCAAAGAGTTATAATTATAAAGTTTATTGTTTTACACTGAAAGCATTTCAGATTTTTTGAAATATGAATATCGATGTAATTAAACTCTCATCACTTGATGTTATGCCTTTATTTGTGGCATTTATTAAAAAGCATTTGATGAATTGTTACTGCATTAAAGCCATGATAAATTTTTCCATATTAGATTTGCATCATTATCGTTTTTCATGAAAGATTATGGATACCAAAATTTAAGATGCATGAAGAAAATCTAAGTGTAGAGGCTGTTTGTGGTTGACTTATATTATATTTTACAAATCATATGTAGTATTGCATATATTATGAATATTGTATTATTATATATATTGTATTATAGTGTACATAATTCATGAGAAAAAGGTTAGTGTAATAGTCTACTAAATTATAGTCAGAGAGAAAAACATTAAAAATCTGAAGAAATACATCGATTTTACCAATTGCACATTAAAATAATAAAATACAGTTGATTTTGAAATCAATGTCAAATAATTTGAATTCATAGATTACGTTATTTTTTTATTCTTATAACTACAGGATCATAATCTTAGTTATTATAAAAATAATATAATAGTAGAATTAAGAGCCATATATTTTTGAATCTTAAAGGACAGTTTTCTAAATTTTTTCTTTTTTTTTTTTTTTAGGGAGGGAGGGAGGGAAGGGAAGGAAGGAAATCAAGCAATGAGAGAGACATTGCTGACCTGGATCTAGAGGTTTACAAGTTGATTTCTTTTTTTTTCAGAGAAGGAAAGAAAAAAAAAATAAGTAAAGGAGAGGAAGAAAGAGGAAGAGAAAGAGGGAGAGTAAGTGGAAATATTGCTTTATTTTGAAAAAAATTGGGTATTAATGATGGCCAATCAATGTTTCATTTAAGCTTATGGGTAGGTGTGATGTGGTATTGACAAGAATGTATATTTTAGGTATTTGAAGTGGAGAGCTCTATAAATATTTATTAAGTTTACTTGTTCCAGATCTGAGTTCGAGTCCTTGATATTCTTATTAATTTTCTGTCTCATTGTGTCTAAGTCTCTATGTATCTGGGTGTTAGGATCGTTAGCTCTTGTTGTTGCATTGATCCTTTTACCACTATATCTTTGTTGCTTTAAAATCTATTTTATCCGATACGAGAATTGCAACTCCTGCTTTTTATTTATTTATTATTTATTTTTGCTCTCCATTTGGTTGGTAAATCTTTCTCCATCCCTTTGTTTTGAGTCTTTGTGTATCCTTGCATGTGAAACAGGTCTGGATGTAACATGCCATTGGGTTTTGGCTGTGTCTTTTGATTGGGGGATTTAGTCAATTTAAATTTAGGGTTACTGCCATTTGATGTTGACTGGCTGTTTTATCCATTCGTTGGTGTAAATTCTTCTTTATGTTGGTGCTCTTTACTTTTTGGTGTATTTTTAGAAAGGCTAATACTGGTTGTTTCTTTCTGTGTGTAATGCTTCTTTCAGAAGCTCTTGTAAAGCAGGCCTGGTGGTAATAAAATCTCTGAGTTCTTGCTTGTTCATAAAAGATTTTATTTTTCCTTCAGTTGTGAAGCTTAGTTTGGCTGGATATGAAATTCTGGGCTGAAGGTTCTGTTCTTTGAGAATGTTGAATATTGGCCCCCACTCTCTTCTGGCTTGTAGAGTTTCTGCTGAGAGATATGCTGTAAGTCTGATAGGCTTCCCTTTGTGGGTAACCTGACCTTTCTCTCTGGCTGCCCTCAGTATTTTCTCCTTTGTTTCAACCCTGGTGAATCTAACGATTATGTGCCTTGGGGTTGCTTTTCTTGAGGAATATCTTTGTGGTGTTCTCTGTATTACCTGGGGTTGAATGTTGACCTGCTTTGCTAGTTTGGGAAAATTTTCCTGAATAATTTCCTGAAGGGTATTTTCCATCTTGGATTCATTCTCTCCGTCGCATTCAGGTACACCTATCAAACGTAAATTTGGTCTTTTCACATAGTCCCACATTTCTTGGAGACTTTGCTCATTCCTTTTTATCCTTTCTTCTCTAATCTTTTCTTCACGTTTTATTTCATTAAGTTGGACTTTGACCTCTGATATCCCTTCTTCTGCTTGAACAATTCGAGTGTTTAAACCTGTGCATACTTCTCGGAGCTCCTGTATTGTATCCTTCAGTTCCATTAATTCACTCATACTCCTCTCTAAGTTGTCTATTCTCAATAGGATTTCATCAAACCTTTTTTCAAAGTTCCTAGTTTCTTTACGTTGGGCTACAACATGGTCTTTTAACTCACCGAAGTTTGTTATTATCCATTCCTTGAAGAGTGATTCTGTCATCAGGATGTGCTCATTCTCCATCAAGCCTTGTTCCATTGTTGATGTGGAACTGTGATCATCTTTAGAGGGAGAGGTGTTCTGACTTTGAGTATTCTCAGCTTTTTTACGCTGGTTTCTTCCTGTCATTGTAAATTTATTCTCCTGTCGTCTTTGAAATTACCAACTTTCAGATTAGGTCCCAGGGCCAGAGCAGCAGCGTTAAAACTTTTAACGCTGGTGCTTTTCTGCCCAGGATTCTCCTGTCTGGCTTCCTTCTTGTGTCCGTAGTAGGTGACTCTGCCTTCCCAGGGCTCCAAACCTCGGTCAGAAGGGGAACCGGTCCCGTTTACTCTGTGCCGAGCGCTGCCGCACAGAGGTGCTGTCGCAGCCGCTGCGCCGGGCTCTGGTGTTGTGCTGGGGGCCCGTGTGGGTCCTCCGAACCTGTTTACTCTGCTCCGAGAGCTGCCGCCCCGAGGTGCCCGCGGAACCGCTGCGCCGGCCACGAGAGTCACGCTGGCCACCCGTGTGTTTCCTCCACTGGGGGATCTTCTGCTCCGTGAGCGACCAGAATTTGTCTGAAAGTGTGGCGTCCTCTAGTTCTCCGCGCCTTCCCTGAGAGCTGCAATCCCGGGATGTTAGCGATCGGCCATCTTGGATCGTTCCTCTCTAAATTTTATCTTAGTTTTTTTAACATGTAATCTCTGTGGTCTGCAAAACACATACAGAATATTGGTTTTGATTTACGTGGAGTTTAATGTACAAATATATAACTCTAAAGATAAACTTCACGTTTAAGAGAATTATGGAACAAGTAATTATGTTTATTTGAGTGTGTCTACCTATTTTGAGAAAAAAAATTGAAACTCAATATAATTTCAAAAGCATTGATAATTTTTTAACAAACTGGAAACCTCAAAAATTCTGAAAGCCGAACTCTTTTCTCTGCATTGTAATACATTTATTTTTCTACAGTCTTCTTGCTCCTTTTTCCAGAACCTCCCTACACAGATTCTCTGCTTGTTCTTGACTGTTAGACCTGATGTATAATTGTTGTTCTCTCATGCTAGACCTGATGTATAATTCTCTTATTCCAAAGATCACAAAGAATTTTAACTTGTGACCTCAGGAATTATAAGACTAATTTATATGACACTTAATAATGCTTACAAAATAATTGATTGAATTATTTTATAATAAATGTTATTAAGTTACATTTTATTTAATCAGTACATTCAATTTTTTTCTTCTCAATTAAAGAATCTTATTTAAGCTAATTTTTCTTTACTGTTTCTTTGCTTTTTATCATGAATGTAATTGAGTTTACTGACTTAACTGACCAATTTGTTAAGGTAAACACTGTGGAGATTTCACAAGTCATGAAGTTGTTCTGACACATAATGAAAGAAAGGAGCTATTTACAAAAATTAAAAGCTATTTTGCATAGAATGAATATGTTCCTTTGAAAAATAAGCAGTTTGGTAAAATGTATTTCCCCATCTTTGTTGTAATATTTAACTTTTAGAGTAGTGTCGTTTTATGAATAACGTCATTTGAATAGAAAAACCTGTAGTCTGCCTTGTGTAGATTTAAGAAGATATGTATGACAAAAAAAAATTTTTCAGAAACCTCCCAATTTCAAGTGATTCACCTGTCTCAGTCTCCTGAGTAGCTGGGATTGCAGGTATGCACCACCACACCCGGATAATTTTTGTATTTTTAGTAGAGATGGGGTTTCTCCATGTTGGTCAGGCTGGTCTAGAACTCCCGACCTCAGGTGATCCACCCACCTCAGCCTCCCAAAGGGCTGGGATTACAGGTATGAGCCACTGCACCTGGCTAAAACTAATAACTCTTGAAAGCCTTTCAAGTTCAATTGAAATTTTTTTTATTCCTCAAAAAAAAAATTGTCATGTAAAAATCCTATATTGAGGCCGGGCATGGTGGCTTACGTCTGTAATCCAAGCACTTTGAAGGCCAAGGCGGATGGATCACCTGAGGTCGGGAGTTCAAGACCAGCCTGACCAACATGATGACATCCCGTCTTTAAAAAAGAAATCCTATATTGAGAAAATATATTTATTAAAACTAAATGTAAAATAAACACATTCCAGACCAAAAACACCGAGATAATTTGGTGCTAGCCAACCCATCTTACAGAAGATATTAAATGAAGATTTTTAATGTTAAAATCAAGTGACCACAGATAATAATTTGAATTCACATAAAGTGACAAAGAGTATCTACTGGGTACTACACAGAGGAAATAAGTCGTTATATGAAAAAGACATATGTGGCTAGGCGTGGTGGCTCACACCTGTAATCCCAGCACTTTGGGAAGCCAAGGTGGGGGGATCACAAGGTCAAGAGATCGAGACCATCCTGGCCAACATGGTGAAACCCTGTCTCTACTAAAAAAATACAAAAATCAACTGGGCATGGTGGCGCGAGCCTGTAGTCTCAGCTACTCGGGAGGCTGAGGCAGGAGAATTGCTTGAACCCGGGAGCAGGACGTTGCAGTGAGCCAAGATTACGCCACTGCACTCCAGCCCAGTGACAAAGCAAGACTCCATCTAAAAAAAAGAAAAGAAAAAGACATATGCACATGCCTGTTTATAGCAACACAATTTGCAATTGCGAAAACAGAGCCACCTAAATGCCCATCAACTAATGAGTGGATATGGAAAATGTGATACACACACACACACACACACATCCATACATATACCATGGAATACTACTGAGCCATAAAAAGGAACAGAATAATGGCATTTGCAGTAACCTGGATAGAACTGGAGACCATTATTCTAAGTGAAGTAACCCAGGAACAGAAAACCAAACATTGTATGTTCTCACTTGTAAGTGGGAGATAAGCTACAGGATGCAAAGTCATAAGAATTATGTAATGAATTCTGGGGACTAGGAAGGAAGGGCACTAGAGCACTGAGGGATAAAACACTACACGTTGGGTAACGTGTACAGTGCTCCGGTGATGGGTGCACCAAAATCTCAAAAATCACCCGGATAAAGAAATTATCTGGGCCAGGTGTGGTGGCTCACGCCTGTAATCCCAGCACTTTGGGAGGGCAAGGTGGGTGGATCACCTGAGATCAGGGGTTCAAGACAAGCCTGGCCAACATGGTGAAACTCTGTCTCTACTAAAAATACAAAAATTAGCCTGGCATAGTGGTGTGTGCCTGTAATCCCAGCTACTCTGGATGCTGATCTTAACCTACTTTATAAGTTAAAGAGAACTTATTCAGAATAGGTTAAAGAGCATTGTCAGGGAGCCATTACTCCTCTCATTCAGAGAGGAGTAAATGAGACCTAACTTTTAGGTCTTTTTCTCACGGTTTAGAGTAAATGAGGCAATGGTTAGACATTTATCCCCCATAGTTAGGTCTATAGTAGATTCTATTGTAAAGGCCATGGTTACACAATAGCCTTTAAACTTTCTCATTAAAGTTGTGCTAAATAATGAATTTCTCTAGATTACTTACTGGATAAACAGAGACGAGTCTGTGCAGTTCTAATACTTGTGTTTGCATATAGAAAAATACATTGGATGTTAGAGAGATTCAGTTGTAGGAGATTAATGAACAGAATGCTTGGTTGAAATGAATAGATCTTTTATCTAGCTAATTATTTGATTTATTTAATTTTAGTTGGTTGTTCATGAGGACCCTAGCTAAAAAGCATATCAACCTCTTGGTATTACCCTCCTGATGTCAAAATAGCAGTCTCACTACTGCACTATATTCTCTCAAAAGTTATAAATGTTTGCATGAAGTCATCTCTAGAATGCCAAATGGTTTCTCATTAACTGGAATGACAAAAACTCAAAGACATATGTGACCATGAGGACACCATAACCTATGAATAACATAATAGATAAGGACAAAAACCCAAAACAATGGAAACTAATTGGCACTAAGGCCCTGAGTTTTGGTTAAAATCTGACCCACTTGAGAACGTAACCAAATGGGGGGAATTTTTTAAACAAAATTATTGGAGGTCACTCTTCCTGACTGAGCTTCTGCACTAAGCCCAAATAGACAAAACCAAACCAAAATGGAGTCACTCATACTAAATGCCACATAAAGTGATAATTCAAGGAAAGAGGTAGATTCTTAAGATCTATAGACCAGGTTTTGTTTTTCTTCTGTAAACAGCAGATTTCCATACAACGAGGTCCTCTTATGGTAAGGGTTTAAAAAAATAATAATCTGAAGTTCTTGTTTCTACTTTACAAAACACACAGTGGAATTTGAGACTAAGTAAGTACTTCTTTTTTTTTTTGTTTTTTTTGAGATGGAGTCTTGCTCTGTCACCCTAGCTGGAGTGCAGTGGCATGATCTTGGCTCACTGCAACCTCTGCCTCCTGGGTTCAAGCGATTCTCCTTCATCAGCCTCCCTAGTAGCTGGGATTATAGGTGTGTGCCACCTCGCCCAGCTAATTCTTGTATTTTTTAGTAGAGATGAGGTTTCACCATGTTGGCCGGGCTGGTCTCAAACTCCTGACCTCAAGTGATCCACCTGCTTTGGCCTCCCAAAGTACTGGGATTACAGGTGTGAGCCACCATGCCTGGCCATAAGTACATTATTAATGGTGACAGATTGATATCAATGTCCAAAGTGTTTATCTGTATCTGAAAATTGCGAAGGTAACAAAAAGGGAGAAATTGTTAAATTAAATTATAGCCGCAACCTGCCCCCTTTCCTGTATGAGTTTGGTCAATAGATGTTTTTGAAGACAGTAAACGGAAACCTAAGTAGATATGTAAGTAGGCTGTAACACATTCTTGTGCCAACCGCTGTGTTTTTGCCAATAAAAAAAGTCAACTGTTCAAACAATGTTCAAATAACGCAGATCCCAAGCTGCAATCATTCTGGCTGTTTCAGTCCCTCATTTGCATTTTCTGTGGGTCACTTTGCTTTTTCGGTCCATAAATCATTTTTGACCAGGTGGCTGTGCTGGAGCCTACTCTAGATCCACAGGCTGCCAGATTTGCAATTATTTTTTGCTCAATTGAACTGTTAAATTTAATATCTCTAAAGTTGGTTGTTTTTAAGTTTTTAATTTTTTTTACGATAAAAAATAAATAATGTGTTGGGCTTTGATTTTCTAAACTCATCCTTCAGCTATTTTCCCGAATTATTCTACATTCTTTCGAAATGCTTCTGCGTTTTGTTTTTTTTTTTAATTTTTGAGATGGGGTCTCACTCTGTCTCCCAGATTGGAATGCAGTGGTGTATTCAATTATGGCTCACTGCAGCCTTGATCTTCCATGCTCAAGCAATCCTCCTGTCCCAGCTCCCCAGGTAGCTGGGACAACAGGTATGCACCATTAGGCCATTATGCCTGGCTAATTTTTCAAACGTTTTTCATGAAGACAAGATCTTACTACGTTTCCCCAAGCTGCACTTGAACTCCTGAGCTCAAATGATTCTCCCATCTCAGTCTCCCGAAGTGCTAAGATTACAGACGTGAGCCACTGTGTGCATCTGCAGTTCTTGAGAGGAGTATTACCAATAATTAAACAGTACTAAATGGGCACAGATTTGAAAGGAATCTGGCATCTATTCTAGAAGTGTCACTCTCGAGGAATTTAAGGGTCTAAGGCAGCTACTTTAGTAGTGTGATCTATGCAGGTGCATGGGCTTTGGGGTCAGACAGAGTTGTTCCTGAATCAGCCCAGCCACTTAGTAGCTGTGAGTCTTTGAACAAGTTTCTTGATGTGGACAAGTTCTATAAATCACATATGCAAAAAAAAAAAAAAAAAAAAAAAAAAAAAGGCAGAATGATACTGATTGCAAAAATAGTAGCAATTTTTTATCCCTTCTGTATCCATGCCCAATGCCAGGTGTTCTACAGCTGTTCCCATCGAGATCCAGAATCTGTTTTCTGAGACCTCGATCCGGCTGGCTTTATTTGCTCAAGGCAGTAAAAACCTGTGACCATGCCAGTGTGCTAGTGTGCGCCTTGAATGCTTCTGTTTTTCTTTCAGAATGCTGCCATCTCCGTGAAAAAGAGCCTATGTTAGGCAGCTGGAGGATAACAAATCATGGGGAGGAGAAGCAAGGTGCTCCTGTAGACGGCTCCAGAAGCAGAAGTGCACACCCAGAAGCACAGCTGCCTAGTTAACAAGCAGCTGATAATACGTGTCTGAAGGAGCTCAGCTGAGACTGGAAGAATTGCTCCACGGAGCCCAGCCTAAATGACTGACCATCTCAATGGTGAGCTAAGAAGTCTTGGATGGGCCAGGTGTGGTGGCTCAAGCCTGTAATCCCAGCACTTTGGGAGGCTGAGGTGGGTGGATCACCTGAGGTCAGGAGTTCGAGACCAGCCTAACCAACATAGAGAAAACCCATCTCTACTAAAAAATACAAAAATTAGCTGGGCATGGTGGTGCATGCCTCTAGTCCCAGCTACTCGGAAAGCTGAGGCAGGAGAATTGCCTGAACCCAGGAGGCGGAGATTGCGGTGAGCTGAGATTGCGCCATTGCACTCCAGCCTGGGTAACAAGAGTGAAACTCCGTCTCAAAAAAAAGAACCACCACCAGACAAGTTTTTGTTGGTGTGTTTCGCAGCAATACCTGACTAATACGTGAACCCAGTGCAGACAGGATGTCAGGACTCAATGACAGGTTGGTTACTGGTTGTTATAGTTACCTTCTATCAGTGGGCACCCTAAAAGTACTGATCTTTTTTTTTTTCTGATTTAAAGTTGGATGTTTTGTAAGATAATATCGAGTAATGCAGAAATACATGTAGACATGTTTGCATGTGATAGGTGCAGGAGAAAACAAATAAACACAGCCTGGGCACTAGGGCCAGCCAAATAGCAAAACAAGTTTGCCTTTAATCTGTTTTCTTCATATCTAAACACTGGAAGTGATGAGTGGGGAGAGACCTGAAGACATACAGTTTTAATCTCCAGTGGCCTCATCATCTTTATTTTACTGTCTGATCTCTGGAAGAAAGATGGGCAGCAAGTGGCCAGCAGTGGTGAACCTGTGGTTATTTTATTCTTGCTGCCCTCTGCTCTTTCTATGGTCACTCTCTGTTCCGCCCTCAACACTGAAGAGAGGTATTGGTAAAGGGAGGCTGTCCCCCCTTACTTCTGGCGGAAAAGGGATGTTCAGGCCCTTCACCCCTCTGCTGTCAGAGCTGCACTTCGATGTGGCAGCTACTGGCGGTGTGTGGCTACTGGCTGCCTGGAATGTGGCTGGTCTGAACTGCAATGTGCTAGAAAGGTAAAATACAGAGTTAATTTCAAAGATTTAGTTCCAAATAAATATATATACTTCATTAATTATTACATATTGATCACATATTAAAATGGTACGGTTTTAGATATACTGGGTTAATTAAATTGTTACAATCAATTCCACCTGTTTTTTTGTTTCTTTTTAAAGTTTGGCTCCTCCGAAATTTAAAATTCACGTGTCGCTCACATTTTATTTCAGAGAACAGCCTTCTTTTTAAAAGTTCAGGCTGCCTGCTTAAAAAACAGAAGCCAGGAAGGTTGTAAAATTGGAAAATTTTGAGTAATTGGCATTACACCATTTGCATTTGTGAACAGTCATATAATATATTACTTATAAATGCATGTGGCCTTATTCACAAGGTTAAATGCAAATACTCTGCGGGATGGGCCTGGCTCAGCCCAGGGAGGAAGCCCTGTCTGAAACGGCTGCAGCTTCGGCTGTCAGCCCGGCATCTGATCTCATGTTCTGTCACTCAGGGCCTGATGGGGCGGGGTCTTAACCGTTATCCAATCATGTGCGCTGGGCTGGGAACCGTCCAATCAGGCACGCAGCTGGAGCGGCCAGCGCAGCTTCCGGGATTTGGCGGGGCCTTTGTGTCTCGCTGCCGCCGGAGCTTGGCGTCTGGTCTTTACCGCTCTGCGTCCTCTGCTCTAAAGGCCCGGCCTCCGCGGCCCCGTTGCCCGCAGGTTCTGGGAGATCCACAGCTAAGACGCCGGGACCCCCTGGAAGCCCAGAAATGGTGAGAGTGCCGGGTCCGACATCCCGAGAGACGGGGAGGGCCCGGTTGGAACCGGTGGGAAGTGGCTGTGGCGGGACTCGGGCCTCCCCGGAGTGGGCTCCACAATCCGCGCTGCCCGAGTTCTCCTTGGCGCGGCCCGGCCCTCGGTCCCCTTCAGCCATAAGATGGCGGCCGGGCTGACAGCCGGACCCCGGGCGTCCCGTCTCCTCCCTGGGCAGCGACTGTGCCCCGGCCTGGAGCCCTCTCCGGGCAGCTCCGCACCCGCAGGGCCGCATCTCTCCCCGAGCGTGCGGGGACCACGGGAGGGTCGTCGGGGGAGAATCCTGACGCGGGGTGCGGGGTTCCTGAATGGGAAGAGCTTTGGTCCGTGGGGTTCCCAGTCCCTGCTTTTTTCTTTTTTATTTATTTATTTATTTTTATTTTTATTTTTTTTTTTTGCTTTTTTCTATTAAAAATGCATGGAAGTCACCGCGAATATGTTAATCAAACATTGAAAAATCATAAAGCACCCAGCTATGATTTGTAGTTTGTGGTCCATGGGAGGAGCTTTAAGGAAAGAATTTTTTAAGGTGTGTGAATGAATTAATTCCATCATTCTGGTGAAGGTGACAGCGGCCGTTGAGGTCTGCTCTTCTGAGAGTTCCAGGCTTCCACTGATGTGGGGAGGAGAGTTCAGGTGCAGACAGGCTGCAGAGGTAGAATCCAGGGTATGAGTGGCTTTCTTGCTGCTGGCCAACAAATGTCCATAGTCACCCAATATTAAAGAAGTGAATCGAAGAGCACCCAGCCGTGGTTAGTAGTTCGTGGTCCATGGGAGGAGCTTGAAGGAAACACTTTTATAAGATGCTGGGATTACAGGGCTGAGCCACCTAGGCCGGCCCTGGGCTTTCTTTCATAGGGAGGAGCAAACAAGATTAGAAAGAAGGTGGGAGGGGAACGGCAAATGGAAGGAATCAGACTTTAGGGGGCCACAGTGGCTCACACCTGTAATCCCAGCACTTTGGGAGACAGGCAGACGGATGACCTGAGGTCAGGAATTCAAGACCAGCCTGGCCAACATAGTGAAACCCCATCTCTACTAAAAGTACAAAAGTTAGCTGGGTGTGGTGGCAGGTGACTATAATCCTAGCTACTGGGGAGACTGAGGCAGGAGAATCGCTTGAACCTGGGAGATGGAGGTTGCAGTGAATTGAGTGTCACTGCTCTCCAGCGTGGGTGACAAAGTGAGACTCTGTCTCCAAAAAAATCAGATTTTAGATGAGAGAATGTTTTACCCTGAAGTCAGCATGTTCTTAGGAGGGATATAAAATGGGGTTGTATGTTGGCTTAGACTGAAGGAAGCTCAAAGTGCAGGAGTCTGTGGGAAGGAGATAAACTTAAGTTTGATTAAGAAGTATTATTTTTTTGACCACTGAAGCCAAATTCAGCTGACTTAATGAGAAAAAGAAAATGTTCAGTCTGTATCTGGCTATGCGATAGGTAAGAAAAGAGAGCACCATCTAAGTTATAACGGGAAAGGTGTTTCTTTCCATAAACTGTTCCTGGAGAACACAAAGAATGGAGAATTTTATTAATCACAGCTATTTACCAGGATTATCTATGTGATTCATTTTTCCCCACATATTTTTTTCTGTCCTATACATTTTTTGTACTTGACTTTTCCTGGGTTGTATCATTTATAATAAACTGGTCAATGTAAGTACAGTGTTTTGCTGAGGTCTGTGAACCGCTCTATCAAGTTACTGAACTGGAGGGAGGTTATGGGAGTCCCCAATTTTTAAGCAGTGGCTTAGAAGAACAGATGGACCCATGAGGTTTGTGGCTGAGATCTGCAGTGAGGACAGTGTTGTGGGACTGCGCCCTGAATCAGGATGCGTGCTGACTCTGGATGGTATCAGAATACAAACACTAGAAAATGAGTCGGTGTTGGAGAATTGCTTGGTGTTCACCAATCTACAGATTTGGGGCCAGAAGAGAGATACCACAGAGGCCTGGCCTGGAATGGAACTCTGGGTGTCTGGGAATGGGAGGCTCTGCTCTCCTGTACACAGGCTGTCACACTGCCCATTGTCCTAGGATTCCAGGTCTCCTGCTATGGTGAGAGAGGGCTGAAATCGTAGAGGAAAGAAGCTCTGATTACAGACACCCTTTTTCCATAGCTGCCACCACATGATTCCCACTCACTCACAAACATATCCACTAGATACTGATGTGTCCAAACCCCTCCTGGGAGTAGGCACCACCCTCAGGAATTTCACCACAGCATTTTTGAACCTATTGTTTCTTGCCCACAAAAGTTTCTACACGTCTCTTCACATATCCCCACTCTCAGACACTGAATCTGCAGGAGCAGCCTGCTTTCTTCACCAACCTAGGGTTCTACACCACCTATTCATAATATCATCTGCCTGCATGGACATGAATAAATCAAAGGACAGCCCCCACATGGGCCACTGTCTGTAGCACAAACCAGTCCTACCTACATTGCACTCTCCCCTACCCATGGATCTTTTTTAACTTTTATTTTTGGTTCAGGGGTACACATGCAGGATTGTTATATAGGTAAAATAGTGTCATGGGGGTTTGGTGTAGATTATTTTGTCCCTGAGATACTAAGCATAGAACCTAATGGGTATTTTTTCCCCTGATCTTCTTTGTCCTCCCACACTCTACCCTCAACTAGGCCTCAGTGTCTGTTGTTCCTCTTTGTCTCCATGTGTTGTTATTATTTAACTCTTACTTATAAATGACAGCATGCATTTGGTTTTCTGTTTCTGCATTAGTTTCTGTGGAGAATGGTCTCTAGCTCCCATCCATATTTCTGCAAAGAAATTGATCTTGTTCTTGTTTTATAGCCACAGAGTATGCCATTATTTTCATGTACTATATATATAATTTTTTTTTTTTGAGACAGTCTCACTCTGTCACCCAGGCTGGAGTGCAGTGGCACAATCTCAGCTCACTGCAACCTCCGCCTCCTGAGTTCGAGGATTTTCCTGTCTCAACCTCCTGAGTAGCTGGGACTACAGGTGTGCACCACCATGCCTGGCTAATTTTTGTATTATTAGTAGAGAGGGGTTTTACAGGCTGGTCTTGAACTCCTGATCTTGTGATCTGCCCACCTCTGCCTCCCAAAGTGCTGGGATTACAAGCATGAACCACTGTGCCTGGCCTATATTTTGTTTTTGTTAAATCTTTTGTTTATTTTTGGAGACAGGGTCTTACT